CATATGACCCCTTTAAAGCAGTGTTTCAGTGCAGCTCTGCTTTGTTTACTGCGATAACCAAGGAAACGCTGTATCAGCGCCTCCTGCTGTCAGAGAGTGAATCTGCATCTCATTTAGAGCTTCTGCTGTTTGTTTCGTACAGGCATGTTGTATAATTTCACAAAGCTAGTCAGAACATTCTGTTTTTGCTTCAAATTGGGTTATTATTAAATCAAATTATGTATATGAAATTATATAACTAAATGATATGAAATGATATAAACGATATGTGTATGAATTATATAACTAAAATTAAATAACTGTAATTACAGATTTAGGTTAAATAAAGATGTCAGTCTTTATTTTTCTTCTTTTTAGGAAACAAACCAAAGAAAAAGAAACAAATTCTACTGTTCCTAATATTCTGTATGTTGCTCAAAAACAAAATATATTGTGTTCAGCGGAAATTTTTTTTATTTTTTTTACCCGGTCATTTAAAAAATAACACGTATAGAGCTGTAACGACAATACCGTGAAACCGTGATATTTTTGCTTAAGGTTATCATACCGTCAAAATCTCATACCGGCCCATGCCTAGTGTAGATTGGATGCTAACGAGTCATTTTGGAGTGAGTTTTTTATTAACGCATCTGCCCGACTGCTGACTGCAGATAAGAGCGTTTGAACAGTAATAGTAATACTGAATTGGTTGCGAGCGCGGGAACAGTTGAGCGCTCAGTCATTTCTAACCGCACAAACCAACCACAGCTTGCTCGAACAGAGTGAAAGCGTTGTTGAACACACACACACACACACACACACACATGCTGTTGCTCAACGAGAGGCTACGTCACACTGAACGCACACTGAGCTGCTGTGAGTCTGCTTTACCTGCATCACAACGCTGCCAGTGCAGCAGGTTTTCATGCCGCACGTAACCACAAGTCTTTGTCTGAACGGGTATATGATAAGTTAACTCTAGGTGTGCACTCAGATTACTGAACATTTTTGGATACTGATGTTGCACTTGATATTTTGCATAAAGAAAATGAAAAATATTTTTTAAGAATAACAGTTAGGTTCATTTGTTAACATTGCTTAATGCATTATCTAACATAAACAAAAAAATTAGTTGTCTGTGTATATGTGTGTGTTTGCGTGCGTGTGCGTGTGTGTGTGTGTGTGTGTGTGTGTTTGCATGTGTGTGTTTGTATTTTACAGCATTTATTACACTTTGTTAATGTTAGTTAATAAAAATATAATTGTTCATTGTAGGGCTGCACGATTATGACAACGATCAGTCGATTATTCCCTTGAAATTGTAATTGCGATTATTAATTACAATTATCACAATTTACATTGAATGATGTTTATACCATTGTTTGAAGCAACTGCATGCCATATTTTTATATGAAAATAAACAAGCTGAAAACACTCAAAGTGAAAACCTTTTATTGCTTTTCTATAGCATTAAGGCTCAAATGTCAACTGTACATTGGATTGGTTTCTTCTTTAAATAATAAAAAAAGTAAAAATCTGAATGGTATTATAATGTTATATTTTAGTATTTCAATTGAAACCAAATGAAAATGAGAAATGTTAACTTGGCAACTATCTGACATAAAATAAGTTGAACTTTTTTGTATTTATTTAATTTCAGTTAATGTTTATTGTATTTTAAATAATTAAAATGTTTTTATGGTTTTTCGATATCGGAATTATATCGTATCGACCGAAATTTTGGCCATATCGTCCAGCCCTACTATACATTGGATTGGTTTCTTCTTTAAAAAATAATTTTAAAAAAGTAAAAATATGCATGGTATTATAATGTTATACTAACACTACAATTAAAACAATGGGAAAAACCCTTAAGATGACATGTAGAAAGAAAAGTGAACTTTTTTGTATTTATTTAATTTCAGTTAATGTTTATTGTATTTTAAATAATTAAAATGTTTTTATGGTTTTAATTTTAGTTAAGGATAATAAATACCATTTTTAAAAATGGAAAATATAAAAAACATTGCTTATTTTAATTAAAAGTTTTTACGTGATTTTTGTCATTTTAATTTTTTATTAATTTTAGTGTTCGTTTTTAGTTTTAGTACTTCAATTTAAACTAACCAAAAATGAGAAATGTTGAATTGGCAACTGACTGAAATAAAATAAGTTTAATTATTATTATTATTATTAATTTAGTATTTTTAGGATACTAACCTGCACTGAAAACAATGCTTTTCCCTCAGAATTTTTTTGTCAATTTCACAAATAATTACAAAGAATCTACTAGTACTATATACTTGCTTTGTAAAATCATTTTTACAGTATGGTTGCAATAGTTTTAAATCATTTAGCAATTTCATCAGTAATTTCCTTCACTCCTGGTTTAAACAGTGTAGTTTTTCAATGCATTGTAAATAAGGAAGAGCCAGTCAGATGTGAAACCCTGCACAGATCTGTGCTCTCTCAGAGATGTCGGTGATGATGAGAAGTCGTCGCATCAGCGCTTGAATGAGCTGCAGCTGAAGTGTCTTCCGCTCTCTCGGCTGCGCTCTGTCGGGTTCGAGCGTTTCTCTGCAGGCATGTCAAGAGACGCCTCTGGGGAGGCGAGTGGGCCGCGCCGACGTCACTGCACTATTTCTGAATTCAGACTCTTTTCTTGCTCTCCGGCGCTCCTAATCTCTCTCACATCCTCCGGCGAGAAAATACAAGCTAGCCTTTTTTGGAAAGGGAT